ATATTATTAAGGAGAGAGAACAATAAATGAACAGGAATTAAGAAGGCAAAAGATAACTGATATTGCTTTTAAATTTTTGAAAATCAAGAAAGCAAAAAAACAGAAGAGAATTCAACAAGTAAGGAGTGCAAGAGAAGAAACTGTTAGCATAGAACTTATGGTTACATTTAGCAATTTCAATGGTAAAATAATGGGACCTAGCTGTCAATCTAGTACTGTACTTAAATCCATAAAGTTAAGGTAACAAAAAGGAAAGCTCATTAGAACAATTACTAAGAAAATATTTTTAGAAAAGGCACAGAGAGGTTATGTTACAACAGTGGGAAACTGACTGAAGCCAAGATGCCAGGTCAGAAACAATAACATTGCAAATTTATTTTATGAATATTGGCCAGTATATGTGGCCTTAGATTTATTCAACTCTCAGTATGGGTTTTGTATTTATTTGGTTGATTGCATTTGATGGATTTTAAACAGGGAAGCTATGTTACAATAGTGGGAAAGTGAAACCGAAATGCCAGGACTAATAATATCTGAGACTCCTCTTTGGGTCTTATAATATATGTTATTGTAAACTATTTAAATATCATGTGACTCAGCATTCTCTCCTCCTTCCTATAAATAGTCACTTGGTCAGTTATTCTATCAGTTTTGTACTTGAAAAGTAGTTGAGTGAAACTTGGATTCACTTTTAGTTTCTCTTCAGTTACCAAGACTTAAAACAACTCACTCAACTACTAATCTAATGGCTGAAACTAATTTGAATATTGGATGGTGACCTAAAAGCCTAGACATCAATCCTAGCTCACTCACTGCAGCAAAAGAATGGCATCATTGGTGTATAGTTTTTAGGAACTATATCAAGGAAAAAATTCTAAACAAGCTTAGATCCTTGATAAGCTGTGTCAACTCTACGGCATTTGAGTTTATCAAAACTTCTTCAGACTACTATGTCACCACTCTAGCTAAGGAGGATGCCATTTTTATTAAAACCCCAAACAAGATTTTTGCAAGACATTTACTTGCTACATAAAAAACATGAACCTAATGAAAATCTGGATGACTTGTTCAGGGGACTCAAAAAGTTAAGACAGGATTGTGATTTCAAAGACCTTACAGCCAAACAATGTGGGGCTGAAGCTATGTGAGATGCTTTTATTAGTGGAACTGCTTCTCCAGCAATACATCAAAGACTGCTGGAAAATAAAACATTGGATTTACAGACAGCTTACACTCAAGCTTCAACCTGGGATTTAGCACAGAATAACAATGCTTATGTTGCCCCTATTTCCTCTCTGGGTGTTGCAGTCTGTGTGAGTAATCCTTCTAACAAAGACAATGAAATTAATATCTTAAACCCACCTGAAACAATAATCCTAGCTGTGAATTACAAGTCTAGGAGTACTAATACAAAAGCCTGTTTCTTTTGGGGTCTATGCCGTACCATAAGAGAAATAATTGTCCAGCTTGGGAAGCCATATGTAACAAGTGTTCTAAAAAAAGGGACACTTTGGTCAGAGTGTGTCAGTCTTGAGTAACAAATGCTACAATTGATACTGTGTTCTCTACCAATATAGCAACAAGTAAATCAAAAGTACCAGATGGACTCACACATGCTACAATAATTATAACTATAAAAGGAAAAATGTATAAAACCTTACTTGACTCTTGTGCTTCTGAAAGCTTTATTAGCGAAAATATTGTTTATTCTTTAAATTAAAATGTATTTCTTTGTCAAAACAGGTAACTATGGCACAAAAAAGTCCAAGGGAGTCGATCTAGAAGATTTGTTATCATTAGTTTCAAACTTGATGACTATATTTGACCATTCTCCTGAATATTATAAAAGATTTGTGCTGCAATGTGGTGTTGGGGAGGGATTTTCAGTGTCAGCACCAGAAAGTTATTTTCGAATATGGCAGTCATCTTCCTGAACTGGTTATAGGAAATACAGGAATGTGTTATGCTTTAGAGGTCGCAGATATGGAGGAAACCACATTGTTCCCAAATATTACATCTACATTCAAACTAATAGCTACAAAATCTGGATGCTTTAGTCAGGAAGACCAGAAATTTATCAAAATGGAGATAAATAAACTTTTAGCTAACAAAATTATCAAATCAAGTATTTTGCCATGGTGCCCCCAAGTCATTGTTAAAGATAAAACCAGAAGGCACAGGAAGAGATTATGTATGGATTATTTGCAAATAATAAATATGTACACTGAACCATGGTTATAAACACACATATGAACAAACAAAACAACAAGTACCGCCAGTGAGGCAAAAAGAAAAAACAAGAATTGTTAAAATAAAATTCTTTCTATTGCCAATATAGAGAATCAGAGTGGAAATCTCTGTGGGCAAGGTAAACAACTTGGAGTAAGGAGAGAGTTGGTTGAGTCTGAAGTTAATGCATGTAACAGATTGATTGATCAAGGCCACTGGTGGTGATATTGATGGTAGCTTGCATGTGACACTGACAGTGTGGTGAGTGGCATTCTTAAAAGCAAATGGGGTGGATCATGACTCAGCATTTTTTGTTATACCATTGCTTTAGTGAAGCATTGACAATTGGCTCCTTTTATATTCTATTTTTTTTGAGGTGATTTGTTTTGTGAACCAGACGTGATGCCCAAAGCCTCTTCACAGAGATCAAATTTTTCACTTTTATTTTTGCCTTCTTGGTGTTCACATCCAGTCAACAGGTTTTGATGTAAAGTGAATCAGAAAGAGATCTATTTTGAAATAGACTATAACATGATCAAGGTTATGTATTAGGATAAAAGACACCTGAAAAAAAACAAAAAACAGAGTGTATACAACAGCTTAAAGTTGTGAGTACAACAACCAAAGTGTGAATAATAAGGCATATAAACTTGGCAATGGCTAAATAAATTCAAATACAGGTTGAGAATCCTTTATCTGAAATTCTTGGAACCAGGAGTGCTTCGGTTTTCAGATTTTGAAATAAAGGCTATTTAATTTATATATAGCATCTATAAAATGAGTCAGATTAAGAATAGAACCCAAGCATAAACACAACATCCCTTTACATTTCATAACACAGCTTATACATATACTCTGAAGGTAGTTTTATATAAATAACTTATACCATAAAGTAGTTTTATATAAAATTGAATAAATTGTGTGTACATACAGATACAGGTAATGCCACTAGTCATGTAATGTTCACACAAATTTTTAAGTGATGAAATTAAGATTTCAGATAAACATGTTTTAGGCTTTCTGTACATGTACAAAAAAAACATGATCACTACTTAGAAAAATATATAAATGCAGGACTTTTTGACATTTTGAATAATATCTTTACTGAGCATGAAACATCTGATAAGTAATCCACGAACGAAGGTGTTGCTGTGATGATCACCAACAAAAAGCTGGTGCCAACATAGGCTACATAACTCAGCTGAGAAACTCACACCCAAGCAGATGAGGTCATTTACAACAGCTGCACATCAGCTAGGAAGCATCCGAGTGCTTTTTGAAATTTCCCATTTGAGGCAAGTTATGTCAGCAGCTGAAAAACCTTTGAATTTTGCAGGTTTTCAAATTTTGGAATTTCAGATAAAGGATATTCAACCTGAGCCCTTTTCTTCCAATGATTTTTGCTTTCATTCCAAACAACTAATGATCATTCTAAACATCTATATATAATTAAAAATATATTTAGAGTAAACATATATTAGTCATTTTCTGTTAATACATTAATTCATAACTATTGACAATATCTTTCTTCCTACTTTCCAAAAGATTCCTATAGTAAAATCATGAGCAATGCATTTCTATAATAAAATTATTTTCAATAAATATCTACAGTAAATGTTAACATATTATTTTTATTAGTAACATTTACCTTGATACTTGACCACTAACAAACCCTAACACTGAAACTTTCTCAAACAATTTTTAATTAAAAAATTTGTTGTGTAATCAAATTTTCAGTATTATAAATATCTACTTTGTTAATGCAGAAAATGACTAAACATAAAATGGTACAAGATGGAGTAGGGGTAAAGTCAGTGGGCAACAATAAAATTACCTATTTATATCAGGTTTCGATGTAGTAAGCACTAAAATACAACCTTGATTATAATTTCATTTTTCCCCTTTATTTTAATTTAGCGTGTTACTACAAACGTTGACTGGAAAGTTTATAACCAAGATATAAATGTAAGTAAGGGTACCAGTTGGTAGACTAAAAAAACCTGCAAGTGTACCAGAATACAACAACTGAAAATGATTAATGATATCAGTTACAAGGTGAAGTATGGGTAAAGTCAGTGGGCAGCAATGAGAAAAGTCAAAACCTTACCTATTTGTATCAGATAGGCGATCGTGTATCTTTCAATATGTGACTCATGAGGCAGATTTTGTTTCCGCAGTAGGTTGTCATTTCTTTCTGCGGTAGACCAGTTGCCATCCAAGGCTATAGAACCTGGTCTGTCCTGCTATTTACCCATGGGGGGAGAAGAAGAGGATTCATACCTTTTCTAAGGGTATTAGTACATAAGTGAATGTAATGGATTTGACTGGAATTTGAACATTGTTCTCCATTTCCCCAATCTGAGCTGCTATCCATTACTCCACCATGCCTCCCACTACACTGAAACCTGATATAAATAGGTAAGGTTTTGACTTTTCTTATTGCTGCCCACTGACTTTGCCTCTACTCCACCTTGTAATGGTTTATCATTAGTCATTTTCAGTTGTTGTATTCTGGTACACTTGCATGTCTTTCAGTCTACCAACTGGTGTCTACTTACGTTTATATCTTGGTCAGACTATGAACTTTCCCGACTACACCCTCATATAAAAATGGATTAAAAGAAATTTTTAACATTTGCAGAAAACTTCCTACTCATGGTATCTCAGGTGATACTAAAAAAAGATAACAAAATGCAAGTGAATGAAGTAAAACTACAATATGGATAAACTGATAATTTCAATAAACAATTTTTTGGGGGTGTAAAAAAGTGTTAGCAAATGGGAATTATAACTATAGTGAATTCTAAAATTAAACAACTGCTTGTCATGCATTTAAAGAAAATAAGAAAAAAAAGGAGAAAGAAATAAAAAGGGATAAGAAAAAAAAGGAGAAAAAAATAAAAAGGGATAAGAAAAAAAAGGAGAAAAAAATAAAAAGGGATAAGAAAAAAAAGGAGAAAAAAATAAAAAGGGATAAGAAAAAAAGGAGAAAGAAATAAAAAGGGATAAGAAAAAAGGAGAAAAAAATAAAAAGAATAAGAAAAAAAGGAGAAAGAAATAAAAAGGGATGAGAAAAAAAGGAGAAAGAAATAAAAAGGGATAAGAAAAAAAGGAGAAAGAAATAAAAAGGGATGAGAAAAAAGGAGAAAAAAATAAAAAGAATAAGAAAAAAAGGAGAAAGGAATAAAAAGGGATAAGAAAAAAAGGAGAAAGAAATAAAAAGGATAAGAAAGAAAGAAAGAAAGAAAGAAAGATGGAGGGGGGAGGAAAATGGAAGAAAAAAGAAAAGATAGATAAAATGAAAATGGAAGAAAAAAAGGAAAATGGAAGGAAAAAGGGGAAAAAATCACTTGTGTTCCCACAACAATCATTTAAAAATGTGTTTCTATACAAGAGAGAGAGGGAAATGGGCTTCTATTGTAAAGCACTGATTCACAGGTTGGCCTTAAAATGGTTAGTGAGTAAATTTATCCCCACTATCGGAGAGCCTTGTGCCAGACTAAACTGAGATCAATAACAATTTTCAGTAGTAAATTATTATCAATAACAAATTTGAAATTTATTTTTAAAATAATTTTGTCACATCATTGAAATCGAATTATTTTCTTAAATATTAATTTGATTAAAACTTTTATTAGCCATACTGTGCAGTGAGTAATTTCCCATTTTTACAAATTGTCTTCTCAGTAACAGTTACTTCCCTTGCATTTCTCAAATTCTTTATTATATTCTATTAATTAATTGTGGTACGATTGTTTTTTCTTTTACTTATAGTTATAACTGTTATAAAAATGTCCCGCTGGGGTAGTTTAAAAATAATATTAAGTTTAAGCCCCCATGGGAGGAGATCCCCACCCCCCTATGCAGTACCTCACCTTTGAGAGGGGATTAGGGTCATTACTCGGCGCCTGACACGTTCCCAAAGGGAGAAGTACCGAAGAGGTTTGAGCAATTTTTCCACTCTATTGCCGATGTCGTTAAAAAAGTAAACCCACTTTAAACTGACCTTGTGTCACATTCGGTAGCGACGCGGCCGCATTGAAAAATTCATAGTTATAAAAATGTTTTTTATAAAGCATTCATGTTATTAAAATGCACACTATCCCCAAATGAGAGAGTAGTCATTAGGCTAACACAACAGTAACACTAACAAGAGTAATCTGTAATCAATATAATTTTTTAGTTTTAACAGACTTTACTACTTTATCAAAGGTCTGAGCAGAGGCCCAGATCAAATTTATTCGTCATTAATTATGCAATTTCATCTAAATTTGATTTTTTTAAAAACTTTGAACATACTTTCTATATATAGGGTGACCCAAAAAAACGGGAACTTTTTAACAATCCAATAAAACCAAGAGTGATGGAAGAAAAATATTTTATTCATAGTAATTGAAACCTTAAAACATGCCATTTAAGAAACAATGATGGAATTTTCATTTTTTTTAAAATTACGTCCTGTAGATGGCGTCCTCCTGTACGAATGCATTCTTGAAATCTGCTGTTGAGATTCCTCATTGACTGCTGCAACATCTCAGCTGGGATACTGTGAATTTCATCTTGAATTCTAAATGGCGGAATGTTTACTTGCTCAAGGTTAGTCTCGCAGTGTTGCCACTTGCTCATGTCTGGCAATACGCACTTCAAAAATTCCCGTTTTTTGGAGTCACCCTGTACAAATATTTTGAAGATTAAAGTAGCCTGGCTTTGTTTCTCTTATTAGTGTTTCAGGACTTAAAATATTACAGTAAAAAAGTAATCCCTTTAAAACGTTGTAGGTAGATTCTTCTTCGGATTTTGTCAAGGATCTCTAGAATCTATAAATGTAGCAGGAGCACCAGACCAGATGTGCTAGCAATATTTGATGCACGAACAAAAGGTACACTTGTAAATTTGAAAGATTTAATATTTGCTTAAATTATTTTGTTTATATTTTGGATCCAAAAATATAAGTGAGCAGGTAAAAGTCCCAAAAGAGTAACTGAGTATTGTCTTGCTGTGGGACAGCTGTGTAGCTAAATGGTAAGGCACACCTGCCTAAAGTTGGTTTTCTTTTGCAGGATAAAGGCAGGTTCTATTACTGCAAAGATGTACACTTCCCTTAAGACTTTCCATGATATAGTGGACAATTTTCCTGTCCTAAGTAAACTGTATCTACTGAAATAAGTGTGCGTGTGTACTCACTAAAATAACATTTATATAGTGCAAGGTTTTATGCAAAAAATAAGGGGTCGTATTATACACAGGTAATTTTTTTTTGAAGAGGTTAAAAATCATGCATTTTCAGTGACCGGTTGCACTATACAAGGGTAAATTTTAAATGTAAACAATAATATTTATCACTAACCAATACCCGCTGGCAAGCAGCAACAACAACAGAGAGCAGCTTCAGCAACACACCACGGCAAACATTAAAACTACCTCAATTTCTAGTGAAATGAAGCAAAAATCAACAAATGTATATTAGTGTAGCTAGTTTCTTCTGGCTTGTAATAAATTTTCCTAATCTGTTTTCTTCAACCAACAAAGTAACGCAAGTCAAACAATCCAACAACATGTATCTCCTTGTTCGCTACAGTAGTCGCACTTCTCCCGGTCGCCTATTTTTTATAGATCGAGTGACAGTCAAAATTTGCATATGTTAAAAAAGAAATTTGAGGCAAGTTATGTCAGCAGCTGAAAAACCTTTGAATTTTGCAGGTTTTCAAATTTTGGAATTTCAGATAAAGGATATTCAACCTGAGCCCTTTTCTTCCAATGATTTTTGCTTTCATTCCAAACAACTAATGATCATTCTAAACATCTATATATAATTAAAAATATATTTAGAGTAAACATATATTAGTCATTTTCTGTTAATACATTAATTCCTAACTATTGACAATGTCTTTCTTCCTACTTTCCAAAAGATTCCTATAGTAAAATCATGAGCAATGCATTTCTATAATAAAATTATTTTCAATAAATATCTACAGTAAATGTTAATACATTATTTTTATTGGTAACATTTACCTTGATACTTGACCACTGACAAACCCTAACACTGAAACTTTCTCAAAAAATTTTTAATTAAAAAATTTGTTGTGTAATCAAATTTTCAGTATTATAAATATCTACTTTGTTAATGCAGAAAATGACTAAACATATAAAAATGGTACAAGATGGAGTAGGGGTAAAGTCAGTGCTCAACAATAAAATTACCTATTTATATCAGATTTCGATGTAGTGAGCACTAAAATACAACCTTGATTATAGTTTCATTTTTCCCCATTATTTTAATTTAGTGTGATACAACAAGCGTCGACTGGAAAGTTTATAACCAAGATATAAATGTAAGTAAGGGTACCAGTTGGTAGACTAAAAAACCTGCAAGTGTACCAGAATACAACAACTGAAAATGATTAATAATATCAGTTACAAGGTGAAGTATGGGTAAAGTCAGTGGGAAGCAATGAGAAAAGTCAAAACCTTACCTATTTGTATCAGATAGGCGATCATGTATCTTTCAATACATGACTCATGAGGCAGATTTTGTTCCCGCAGTAGATTGTCATTTCGTTTTGCGGTAGACCAGTTGCCATCCAAGGCTATAGAACCCGGTCTGTCCTGCTATTTACCCATAGCTGGTGGGAGAAGAGAATTCATACCTTTCCCAAGGGTATTAGCATGTAAGTGAATGTAATGGATCTGACTGAAATTTGAATTCGGCTCTCCGATTTCTCAATCCGAGCCGCTATCCACCGTGCCTCTGAAACCTACTTGTTCTAAATAAATATAGTCTCGTGAAGCTGCCACTTTCCTTTTTGGAATATTTTATATGCGTGACAGATCCAAATCTGTTTTCGCCCAGGAAGTAAGCTATTTTCTCTAGAGTTACACTCCCCACTGATCTCCTGATTACATACGTGGCAGGTGGGGATGGAGGTCGCCTTCGTCGGTGCTTCTTCAAAGATGAGGTGGTGGGGGATATTTCTGTCAGCGTCGTATTCTCGTCTCTCGCCTGTGTTCTCCCGATCTCCCTCATTTTTGATATTATCATCATCCTCTGGGTCTGCAGGCGGACTTTCCTACCCTGTTCTTAAGAACAATGGAGTCTTGGAGTTACTCTCAGATGACATACTACTTCCGCCGTCTTCTGAAACAGAAGATTCGTACCGTGGCCGCAGGAATTTCACATGGTTCGGCGTTCTATTAACCAATACTGTTTGGTGGGGTGTCTAACTATTCCATCCACTTGTCCTTTACCGAATTTGCTGGTACATCGTCTGTGCGGGACCTTGACCCAGACATTGTCTCCGGCTTGATACTGGTTATTTACAATGTTAAACGGAGGTAGTGACGCAGCTATCCATTTCACACGCTGTTCATACCGGTAAATTCTGTTGGCTGGTGCAGTTGACATCATTATTCGGAGTCACGTTGTAGCAATACACAGCTTTCTAAATGGATTACTGTATTCTGGCGCCAAGTCTTTTAATGGTACTTTGAAATCGCTCTGCAATAGCATTACCCTCTGAAACATAGGCACATGGGTATCGAACTCGAACTCCCCATTCATCTGCAAAGGACCGAAACTCTAGGCCACAAAAGATTGGGGTATTGTCTATTAGTATCTCGACCGGTGGTGGACCACGTTCACAGGATACTGCCTGTAACTGTCGTATGACAGGCGATGCATCTTGGCGTGCCAGCGGACGCTAAACGGTAAACCGAGTCGGACCACAATCTGTGAGTGTTAAGAAAAGCATACCATTGTAGTGTGCAACATCAATAACTAACCGCCATAAATTACTGTCCACTTCAAGTCCGTTGGCAAAAAGGAAGACAGCAATTGATGGCAGTTCATTTACATATCATCAATATATGATGAGGTGGCTCTCATTGTCATTTGAATCCGAGCCGCTATCCACCGTGCCTCTGAAACCTACTTGTTCTAAATAAATATAGTCTCGTGAAGCTGCCACTTTCCTTTTTGGAATATTTTATATGCGTGACAGATCCAAATCTGTTTTCGCCCAGGAAGTAAGCTATTTTCTCTAGAGTTACACTCCCCACTGATCTGTCATTTCTTCTTGAAACAACACAGTCTTTTCAATAGATTTCATGATGAGAAATGCCACATTGAGACCAAATCCCACACGCGTCAATCAATACCTCTTTCCTTTGATTATTACCGTTTGAAACGGCCACAGCGACTCATGGGCGCATATCTAGAGACAGGGTTTACGTAGATCAAGCAAGGATACATTAACGCCTTGCTGACGTTATTCTCGTTATTTGGCAGTACATATGTCTGCGTCTGCAGTGAAGACATCCACATGTTGGTTTAATTCTTGGTAATCCAAGACCGGAACACCTGTTCTCTGTTGGA